AGATCATGCCCTCATCAGGACGTAATTGTTTACTTCCTCATTTACAGTTAGAACTGAGTATAGGAGGACCAAGAGAGATCTCAAGGATCATACGTGCATCTTCCTCTCCATGTCCTATTAGCAGCAGTCCTACCTCCCAGGCAGTGTGGGAACTTCTTTGCTTGATAGCCTGCAGGCATTAGGAGCTCCAAGTGACCAGAAGACAGCATATCTTTAAGTTTATTGAGATTCTTATGTTGAGCCTAATTGAAGGCTCTCCCACCCCACCCCAGCCTGCCGCCAAAACCAGGACCTCCAGACCCACAGAATTTAAAGCTGCAGATAGAGGACATAAAATTTCTCAAGTAGATGACTAGGAGTGATGCTGAACAGGGTCACCTCTGTTTCTACCCTTGGTCCCAGAACTCTTGGATTCTACCTAAGGGCTGAGAATGAAGCACCCTATCATGGTCATGTAGGTTTATACTGTCCTGTAAAGGACAGCACCGCATTCTTGCTGGCACCACCAACGTACCTTCCAAAGGCCATCCCAAGGCTCTACTGGGTCAGAAGCTTCTGGATGGAAACGTATTTTATAGGAAGAGTATTCCCTACTGTCATGTCCCCATTGCTGCACCTGCTTTGTCATTAAATGGGTCCCTTGTTCCAAGGCATTATTATACAGGATCCCACACCAGTAGATCAAAAATCTCTGAGTCTTTGGATGGTAGTACTAGCTAAGGCATTTTCAGCAGGATAAGCACAGTGAAAATATGTGATCAGAGGAGGCTGTCGGGTGTGACTTTTCCAGCATCGAACTGTTGCCACCAGGTGGCGGGCTCTTCTTGAGCTGTGGTAACTGAGCTAGGGGATCAGCACTGCTTTGTAGCTGACGGTTAGGTATTTAAAAATAGCTAGGTCAGCCGTGGGCAGGAGAGGAGTCCAGTGCTAACAGGTGGGTAAGTATCCATCTCTCCAGCAAGGTGATTCTTCTCGCGAGCACCCTGTGTAAGAACCCCGCGAGGTGAGGCTCCTGACCAAAGCGTCCTGTCCATGCGGTTATTAGTCAACACTTTTCTGGTGAATATTGTAACAAGTCCCAGTCTCACAGACCCACTGAAGCGCTCTTCACCAGACCTTCTCCTGCCTTTTCTTATCGTGCACCTTCTGGGCTCCTGACCAACCAGCCCACCGGCTGTGAGTTCACCTATACCCTGGCCTCAGGCCACTTCTCTCTCCACACAAAGCGATCAGCTACACTGCCTGAAGAACTACTGGTTGAGAATTTCTCATCATGGACTCTCAGGACCACTCTAGATGGGGCTGCTGAGAAGCAATGGTCCCTATTTGTCTTGCCCTAACATATCAAACCAACTCATCCACCAACCGGACCTGGACAAAGGGTTGCAGGAATCCTGACATCGCCACAGGCATGAGCTAGGACGAAGCGAGCCCCATGCGACAGACACAGGTAAACGGAGGCCTGGGGACCCTTGTTCATTTCAACTTACTGTGCCCACCGAGTGTGTTTGGGCTTCTTCCCAAGTGCACCACTTCCGCTGTAAGACGGACGGCTGGTGTATCCGCCCAATCTCATGACCCGGCAGGTCTCACAAGGACCAGTGGGCTCTATGGGCAATTGGTCACACAGTCACTGGATCCTTTGTGGTCAGGCACTGACTGGGTCTCTACTGGGGCCTAATCGTAGGCTAGGAGATGCTTTTCGAATGATGACACTTTCTTTACTGCAGAGGCCACAGCCTTCCTCTAGAACCCTAGAGAACTACGCTGGAACTCTCCTACTGTGGATTGCCCTAGAATCCACACATCATCTTTCCCTACCACAGACACCTCTAGCACTGCAGAATTTTCCAGGCCATACGGCCCACGCAGCAGCGCTGCTTGTGTCGTAGCCTGGATCTGCTGCAGGGGCCTTTCTCGCATTCCCAAGTACAGAATATGGGGCCTCCCAAACTGGAAGAGGCCTACCACGGCACTGGGCTTCTTTCCTGCAGTAAAGGATACATGATGCAATAGCTTACCCTTTCCCTTACAGAGAATGTCCCTGCACACTCCAGACCACGGGACTCCTACTAAAAACTTACTCAATGTGGTAGGACCCTGTAGCTCTGCAGGATTTATCTTCCACTCCCTGGAATGTAAGTGTCTCACCAAGGAATCCAAAATACTTGACAATGTCTTTTCATCAGGTCTGATTAGCATATCCTTATTTCCTGAGTAGCATACACGAGCGTGACATTCTGTAGAATGTCCAGCTCCCTTTGGACTACACTGTGACAATGGGGGAGAATTAACAGAGCCCTAGATCAAGACTGTGAAAATACACTGGTGCCCATCGCTTCTGAATGTAAATTCCTTCTGATCCTTCTTTCTGATGGGTACCGCAAACCATATTCACGGCATTACAGGGTCAGCGAACTTTCTGTGAAGGGTCAGAAAGTACGTATTCGTCACCATATACCCCTGGCAGAGGCTCTAAACCACTCTCAACGCTGCACTGCAACAGGGCAACTGCCTGCTGAAGTCCGCTGCAGGGCACAGCAACCCAGTGTCCACAAGAGCCAGACCGGAGAAACTAGGAGGCAATGAAGGAAACCCACACCCTGCATCCTTCTACCTTTCTAAGCACTGAACTACCACTGCCATTTTCCCTAGAATGCAGGACGATTTTCTTATTTTCTATCTTGGCAGAAGTGGGGGTACAGTTTCAGGGGCTTCGACTGGGGCTTTCTGCCAACTGCCAAATACGTCCATTCTGATTATACATTTGGAAACTGAAAAAATGACCATAAAGCGGGTTTTTGGACCCACTGTGAGGCCAACTTGGGCGAGCACTCTGCTCTGAGCCCACTTCTCCCTATCGCAAAGGGGATGAGTGTAGGGAGGGAAGCGCTGTGGTGGTCCTTTAGGTCACTGGGTATCAGAGTCAATTCCGACCCAGTATCCCTGTTTTCCAAATTAAAAAATTAGGTCGTCTTTCCCCAACACAGTTAACCGGGGAAACTTTCAGTTGACAGGTCGAGTCTGAGAATGGTCTGAGGCCTAGAAAATGGGCAAGGAATTTTGACTTTTCGCTGAAGTTTCTGACTCCTCCTTCTGGGTAATCATTCTTGATCTCTCTTAATTAGATATAAATCAGTGCCATCCTTGGCTGGCCATTCATCTGGCCCCTGGGACCACCCACATGTCATTAGTCACCTCCACTCTGAACATGCTGCCCTGCTCCACTCTGCTTCTGAGAGTAAGTGCTGCCACTTGGCCTCGGCTGTGCCAGGACCCTATCCTCCTCACTGCTACAAGGGAAACTGGCTCTTAAACATCCCCTTCCCTCAGCCTCCACCCACAGAGACAGCCACTTCTAAACTTCTCAAAGATACCAGTGACCCATTCATTAGTGCCTTTCCTTTATTAAAAAAAAGTTGTCCTCAGGCCTTCCTGAGGAACATGGTCAGCCAGTGGGTTTTCCAGCACAATACACATTCACTCCTCTAGGCCTTCTGATCATTTCTCATATGGTCCATCATCTCAACTTCATTTCCTGTGGGCCATCGTTTTCTCCAAGTCCCCCAAAGCCATCTCCCCAAAGCCCCAAAGGGCTCTTGGGACCCTTGCCAGGATGGTCCAGAGTCACAGAAAAATATCCTCATTATCACAAATTCCATAGGAATTCAATTCTTAATTCATGAAACCATCCAAACAACTATAAATTTATTATCTAACATACAATATTTTGGAACAAAGGGGCAGCTTTAAATCCTTTAAAGTTTGAGAGCAACTTAAAAACTCCTCATAGAGCTTGAACCTAAACCCTGTGATGGTTATTTTTAAGCAAGACAAAAGGCTAGAAAAATACTATAAATATCCTTACAGCGACACACCTTGCCAAAGATGCAAGTTCACAAGAGACAATCCTCACATGAGAGAGAACAGGTACTGAGACTGTCCGGTGGCTGACGGAGCTATGGAGCCTGGGGAGGGCCCAGCAGTGCTACTCAACGTGGTTCAAAGACTTGTACAGGTCCGTGAACAGTTTTCTTACTAGTCTATGACATGATGAATTAGTAACCGAGAGTGTTTAGACACCTTTTAGCATTCAGACATTACTGATACCCCAGTGCGTGATCCGTGGACCTCTCCTGCTGAAAGGGCTGTGGGCAGTTCAGGTGTGCAGAAGCTCATGGGGTGGGCAGCATACTGTGGGGACTGCACCGTTGTCATGGAAACACATCTTAGGATACAAAGGACTGGGTATTTGTAAAGCAGAAAGCCTGGTCCTTTACCAAAGATAGCTTGAGAAGGACTGCTCTGTTTTTCCCCAAGTCCCGGAATCAGTCAAATAATGCTTTGGGAACAGACAGTAACCAACTGGAGGTCAATTTGTTTATGTTCAATCAAAATGAAAACAAATGGCCTGGCCTGGGAACAGAACTGAACTGGACTAGGGCATCTATTTCGACTCCTGGAGTAAGGCCAGAGTAGGCCAGCAGGAGTGAGAATCTGTTAAAGCCAGCCACCCCTACGGTACAGGAGGCACGTGGATCAAGGGCTGGGGCCTCTCTGTTCTTCCCTTCCCCTCTGTACCCTCGTCCAGTTCTGGCCTCGGGCTCTGTGACCACCATCACAAGTCCGCCTGCACCGTGCCCACCTCCTCCAGAGAAGAAGAGTCCTGGATTCAGACTGGGGCGCTTCCGCACTCTGGTAAGAACAGTGGCTGGAAATTCCAAAACAGCCTGAGGCCCTCAGAGCACTTCCTTCCTTGTCAACAGCGCAGAACATGCAGGATCACTTTAAGGGGTAAAAAGCTTTACCCAAGGGAAGTGGCACGGCAGGAGCACCGACTGACTCAGATGCCCAATGTACCCTTGCTCTGTGCGTCATCTTCTGAGTGCTGAACAGGACCGCCAGCTGGCCTGACCAGAGTGCCCACCAATACATGGCAGCCGAGGTCCACGGATGCAAGGAGAGGTGCTAAGTCAACTCAAAAAAAACCAAACAAACTGTAATTTAAAAGGTTAACAATGTATTACTAACAATAATAAGAATGTCAAATGTTAGGGTACAGTACCAACTGAAGGGCTTGCCAGAGTGAAACAGCCAGAGGGAGGGAATGAGGCAAGACGGCCATTCAGTCTCCTTTGCCAAGTGCAGTACAGACTGAGCTGGGGAAGGCGGTGACGGCAGAACCCAGCACTGTGAGATTATGCAGAACCAGTCTGCAAGCACCCCTCACTGCGGCTTACAGATGGTGAGGAAGATCCGAGAAAGACCTGAATGAAAAACAGGCCACACTCCTCAATCAGAATATTTATTAGTCAAGAAAAAGGACCGGGGCTGCACTCCACTCCCGTTCCCAAGTCACCTGCTTAATCAAGGGACAGGATTCAAAGAAATCAGAGGTCTCAAATAAGCCAGAACGTATCTGGGGAAGAACAGTCATTCATTTCCTAGACCTGACACTGAATTATGTATGTTTTCCAATCAGAGTGGTGGATGGCCCAGATGAGGGGATATAAGATGGCCCTTCTTTGTCACAGCCTGGGTTCCAGAGAAGGGTTGGAATAAACGAGTGTTTAAAAAGAGAAAAGATGAGGAGAGGCAGGGGGCAGAGGAAGGTCAAGGGCTGGTTTCACCCAGATCACAGAGCACTGTGCAAAGAACCACGGTAGCAACTTGAGTTCTCAGGCTGGAACAGGGAGTTGAAGGCTCAGCACCTAAAGAGAGGAGAATCCCAGGGCTGCTCTCTCAACCCTACTGTGATTAGATGCAAACCCCCCATCTCCTTTTCCTTCACAGAGTTTGTAACGGTCTGTCTGAAGGCAAGAGGACATGGTGACAGACCTCGAGTCCCAGCCCAAGCTAAGTTTCTCCCCACCAATCCCAAAGGCTCTGCCCAAAAGAACTGGAGAAATACAGAGTCCCAGGACTCTGTCTCTGCTCCCCAGGTCCCAGAAGGAGTAGAGACAAGGCACGAAGACCCTGAATGCAAAAGTGAACATCAGTGTGGCCATATATAACATTATCTGGGAGGTAAGAAAGTACATGCCCCACGAGGGATGCCTTTCTTCACCTGGAAGGTAGCTGGGCCTTTGCTAGCAGCAGAAACCGCGTGGATAGGGCCCATAGAAACGGCCCGCACAATAGGCCACGTTTCTAGAAAGACAGAGTAAAAGCCTCAGCTGGTATGGCACAGTCCCAGTCAGCTGGGACGACACAGGGCAGCGGGCAGACTGCTCTTGGAGTTGGCTCTCCTGCCTCGGCTCCCAGTGGTTCTGCTGACTCCAGATGCTCCCCATGGCTGGGACTCAGTGACAGACACGTGCTGTGTTTCACATGATGAGACACTGTTCGCCATTGGCACCTGGTGGGCCCGACAGATTGAGGGCATCCAGGTCGAAGTTGAGGCCAGGAGGCTGGAGAAGAGATGGAGGGACTGAGATTACTGCTCCTACCTCAAGTGAAAGCTTCCGAAGGTGCCTCCCCCAAAGCCACAGTGATCGCCTCATGTGAAATCATTAAAGATTACAGAGTTCCAGAGACTTGGGACTCAGATTCAAATCTACGAGAAAATAAACTCACCATCTCCCCAGCCAGTTCTTTCGGAGGATGGCCCAAATCTTGTAGCTGGAAAATAAGAGGAACTTGAGAAACAGAAGATCCTAGAAAACAACAGGGCAACCCAAAGAGGAATCTGAGCTGTGGTGTCTCTCCCATCTTCTGGGGACCAGGCTTTGGGACCTCTCTTGTGCTCCCTCCTCCACTGGCTCTGGCAGTGTGGCATTCTTCCCAGACCCATCCTCCACGGAACACCCAGACAGCACCAGTGGGCAGATGGCAGAGGAGACCTTACCTGCTGCATGAGATCCAGCACTAACTCAAAACGAGCCTTCTGAGTGGCCTCGCTGTCTGTCGGGGTCTCAGCCTCAAACTGCTCACATATCTTGCCCATGACACTGTGCTGTTCCTGGTATTTTTCAAACTGCTCTGGAGGAAGAGACTCCCGGTGACTCTGCAACCATTCTGGATACTAAGGAGAGAAGAGAATGGGTGGGGAAGAATTAATGAACAATGGACAGGAAAGGAAATTAAATATGAAAAACAATAAAATATAAAGGGGAAGGGGAGGACATGGAGGAAGACAAAAACTAAAGAAGCGAGTTCAGTCTCAAGCAGCGGCACGGACTCCAACCAGAGGACTGGCTATGCTAGCATGGATGGTCACCAGAGCGCGGTGCACTTCTCGGTGAAGGCCGGCACAGCCCTAGTTTAGCCCTTACGGGCCATGTGTGAGCTCTGTCACAGAGTTTCTTCTTTCTGTTTTGACTTTACAACTTTAAACTTGTAAGAACCATTCTTAGTTTGAAAGTTGGCTTTGGTCCACCCAGACCCTGGCCTGCTGACTCCTGGTCTACACTGCTCACTCGACACTTGACCCCACATAGTACTGTGTCATGGAAAAGCTTCTACTCCTGTATTTTGTTTCTTGAGCGAAACTGTAAGCTCCCGGACAGCAGGGACCATCTTTTACACCACTCTTAAACTGTGCATAGCACAAAACCAGCAAAAGAAAGGGCTGGTTGGACAGCAGTCGGAAACCAGTTTACAGAAACCAGAGCTGAAGGACCGCCCCTTCCACCTTCAACATCTTCGGTGTGGTACCTTCCCGCTCCAAACACACAAAGGAGAAAAGAGTGGATGGCTTGTACCCTCGAGTTACTCTCTAGCTCTGTAGGCTCTAGGCACACGCAGTAGCCCACAGGGGCTGACGCAACGGACAAGCAGGAGGAAAAGCAGAAATACAAGTTCACAAACCTTTTCGGTAATCTCCTTCAGGGACGGGTACAGCACATCCTTGGACAGGAGGTTCTGCATGATGCTTTGCATGATGGGGAGGATGTTGCCCTCCCCCTCCCCTTCATCCATGCCCAGCCCTTCCATGGCCTTGGTCAGCTCCTCCTCTGACATGCCTGAGTTCTAGAAAGGACAGGAAGGAGGTGAGCCAATACAGGTGGTCTCTGAACGCGGACCATTTTCAACTTTATTAGGATGGTGTGAAAGGGACGCACATTCTGTAGAATCTATACTTCAGATCTCAAATTTGGATCTTTTCCCAGGCTGGTGATATGCAGAGGATACTCTCCTGTAATGCTGGGTGGTGGCCACAGCTCCCAGGCAGCCACACCGTCACCAGGGTCAACAACCGTGGCACTGGTGACGTCCCACCCCCCACAACCACTGCTTTTCACTTTCGGCACAGCAGTCAATAAATGACACGAGATACTCGATACCATATTAGAAAATGGGCTTTGTGTGGAGGACTTTGCCCAACTGTAGGCTCACGTAAGTGTTCTAACCGTGTTTAAGGCAGGTGAGGCTAAGCTGTGATGTTCCGCAGGGTAGCTGCATGAAATGCATTTCTAACTTAAGACATTTCCAACTTATGACGGATTCATCAGTTGAAGAAGATCTGTATACGGCCTTCTTGGGATGCTTGCCACCCCTTCAGGTGGGAAAGAACTATTTAAACTTGCCTGCAGCAAAACAGTGTGGCAGGAACAGACTTCACCTGCTATGACATAGGGTCTGTCTTTTGAGACAATGCTGTCCTGTGCGTGAGAGATCCCTGGTGGGCCCCACCCCTTTCCCTCACCTGGAGATCAGTGGCATTTTTGGCGAGTCCACTTAGCGTCTCCTTCAGGCAAGACGTAAATTCTTGTTGGGAGGCTGTGTCACTGCCTAAGGAAGGTGAAGAAAGACAAGGTCTTCAGGTTTTAACTGTCTGCCTACCAGCGCGATATGCACCATTTACTGGTGGATCACCAGCACTCCAAGTCTCTGAGTCCTCTGTGTTCATCTTCACAGCCACTTTCACCAGTCTGCAAGAACTGGGCGTGTGTCCGTCTGTTCTCCAAGATGACACCCACAACACCGTGACCTTTCAAGTGGTCGGTTTTCAACAATCTTTTCAAGGACTTTCCAGCCTCATTCCTTTCTTGAAGCCCTGTAGCCATCCCTCTTCCCATCTCCTGGCCCCACCCCATGGCGGTGAGAGCACTATCGGCTTTACTGAGAGTTCTCGCGTTCTCGGCACAAAGACCAGAGAAGTTTGTTCCCAGTGTTCCAGCCCCAGGGCGCCTCCTCACCCACTCTCCCCGCGGCCTCCGAGAGCTTCTGGAACTGCTCCACCAGGTGGGGCTCCTCCTCGGCCAGCTCCTTCATTGCCTTCTCGAACTCTGCAGTGGCCTGGGAAGCCAGCTCGCTGTCGAACAGTTCCTGGAAAAACTTCTCTTGGGAGGCAAAGAGGGCATCCTGCAGGGAAGGGGTGGCAAAAAGGCATGTCTTACTCGGCAACCCTCTGACAGAAGCCACAGGCAGTGGCTCTGGGAAATGCAGAGCTTCCCTCCTGCCCACCTCCACTGGACATTCTAACTACCTCTCTTTAGGAGAACGGTAAATAAGGCTTCTGGCCACTGAGAAAAGGGTATGGGGTGGCATTCCCAAACCAACCATTTAAACCTACTTTTTTTTCCAAAGAACTTCCTCGAGATCCCACCAGTCCATCCTCAAAAGTCCCTGTATACCAGGACTGAGGCCTGAAAGAGCACTCAGCGGTGTAAGGCCAGGGCTTCCTCCCCCCGCCGGACCACTCCAACCCACAGGGGCCTGTCCCCACCTCTGCTCAGAGATGCATGCCCATCCCCTCCCCCTCCCTTAAGAGGGCGGAATTTATACTTTGGCAGTGTCTCCTGGCGATCTCTTCTGGGGCCCCGAAGCATCAGGGGCCGTGGTAGTAGGAGGGGGTGCTGGGGAGGGTTTGGCCTTATCGAAATCATCAAGAGCACCTTCAGAGACAAGAGACATAGTGTGTGTGTTGGGGGATGGATGAGGATGCAAGGCTGGGGTCAGGGAGGGGTAGTTCTGGGCAAAGCATTAAGAGAACAATCTTTCAAAGTGCCAACCTTCCTAAATTTTTTTTTTTTGTCTCCCTCTCCTGGGCCCCCCTCAATAAACTTCCCACTTCCCTCCTCATTACCCAATTTATGTGATCAAAGGAGAAGAAATCCCTCAAGGTGGAAGAAGCATCTCTCTCAGGGCTGGGGGGAGACAGTAAAAAGCTCTGCAAAGACCTCTCCCTCCACACAGTGCCTCCCTTGCCACATCTAATGATTCCCCAGAAATCCCATACACGGATCCAAGAGGAGCACAGAGCACAGACATCCATACCCCCTGAACTCACTCTGGAGCCCTCGAGGGATTAATTTTTGGCAAGAAAGCAGAAGCCACATGATGCTCCACCCAGCCTCCCATGGGTCGGGTACTAGCACCGACTGAGGGACCGCGCGCTCTGCTCTACTCCCAGGGGAGCATTCAACTCCCTTCCCTCGTGACTGCGATTCAGCACACCCCGGGCCAAGCTCCCAGAGCTCCCTCGGGTCTCTCTGCAGCTGTGCGCCAATCCACACGGTCGCCTGGCACGCCTCACTTCTGCTCATCCTCCACCTCCCCACATGTCTGTGAGTGGGCAAGAGACAACACATACTCGCCACTGCCCTCAACAACCCGCGTCCGCACCCCCACCCTGCCTGCCCGGACTAGGGGGAGGGCACGGCCCACGGCGGGCAAACGGCCAACAGAGCAGCGGAGGTCAAGGCTAAGGAAGAAAAGAACCTTCCGCCTCTCCGAGGAGGGTGAACTGTCTGCCCCCAAGGCCGCAGAAGGGGGTGGGCTTGAGCTCTGACCGGTGAAAGAACCGACATGGGGCCTGCTGAGGAAAAGGTGTCAGGCCTGGCGGAAGACGAGTGAGGAGAGGAGCGCACAGAAGGCCGCGCCACGGGCTCGCCGACACTTCAAGCAAGCAGCCGGTGAGCGCCGGGGTCGCGGGCCACCGAGGACCGAACGCTGCGGCTGACGGGAAGGAAGCTGCTCATCTAGAGCAAGGGGAGCTCGGGTCGGACCGTGACACGCCGGCCGGTGCGTTACCGCTTTCCCTCCGGCCCGGAGACCAACGGTCTGACAGGTTCAGGGGCCCACGGTGGCTCCCTAGCTCCCGCGGCGGAGGAAGGAGAGCGTGACCCGCAGATCTTCCTCGGAGTCGCAGGCTGACCCTCCGCCCCCGGCCAACATTTTGGAGAGCCTCTCCCGCTCCGCCCCCAATATCTCAGGTTCAGTTTACCCTCGAATGAGTCCTTACAACCGCCCCCGTCGGGCCTCTCCCATAACGAACTCTTACTTTCCAGGAGCTCTTCCAATTCCCGATCAGCGTCGGCCCCAGCACCACAGTCCCCCTCGGCAGCGGCCATCTTGCTCTCTCCGGCTTGCCGTAGGAGGCGGGTCTCCTAGGCTACTGCGCCCCGCCCCTTCCCCTCCTGCGACCAATAGCAGTGCAGGTCGGTGCGGAGCCGCCATTTTTAAAGGGACAGGAAGTTTTGCGGGTTGTTTTTGTTATTATTATTATTTTTTTCCCTCCCTTCGAGCCCGGAACAGTTGAACTAACGGAGTGGAACCTGCTGTTAACTTCTGCCAGGTTACTCAGTAGCCCGGCTTCCTTTATTTCAACTTCTCGCATTATCCAGAGAAGGAGCTCTTTCACGGTTTTCCCTAACACTTGACGCACTCCGGCATTCCGTACAGTTACTCCCCCGGCTTCCTGTCTCCCCGTCGCCGCCGCGCCGGCAAGGACCGTCCCTGCCGGGTTCTCCGCTCCCGGGCCGGGGCCTGAGGGAGACGCTGGCGGGCAGCTCTTCGCCCGCCCGGACCCTGACGAGTCCGGCGACTCCCTGTCACCGCCTGTTCCCCATCAGGACGGCCAGACTGAAGGACACAGACCTCGGAACTTAGAACCCAGTGTCAGCTGAAGCCACTCAGGCAGAAAAAGCCAGTCTGGGGCCCTGGAGCGAGCCAGCGGACGATTCAAATGTAGTCGTGGTAGAGCTGCCTTCCCTGAAGCATTTTTCTCCAGACGGAACCCACCCTCCAACCCCGGGAGGCTGGGGGAGGCGCAAAAAGGGGCAACTCTACACATGCCTCCCCTCCTCTTCACACGGGTCAGAACCCCTCGGACGCAAGCCCACTTTAGCCCTTGGAGGGCATCCACTGTTTAGGATCCTGTGCTGGGCACAGAGGAGGGAGAGGCCAGGCAGGCCCAGCCCCTGCTGTAAAACAGCGGCCCAGGGACTGGGCTGGAGGTGGGGTCCGACAGGCGGCAAGGATGGTACACGGCAGAGGTCATAAACGAAAGATCAAGTGCTATGGAGCTTAAAAGGGAGAAATTACATGTGAATGAAGTCACTTCCCACCTTCTGTCCTTGGCTTCCCGAGCACAGACTTGAGTTCTGTGTCATGCATCAGCTTAAGTACCTTCCTCTTTCCTTCACAGATTTTTAAAATCATACCCGTGCAAAACCTACTGCATTGCCCCAGGCACAAGTGGTGTGACTCAGGAGAGAACATTCTGCACTGAAGTCAGAAGACTTAAGTCCCACTCCCAATTCTGTAACTTTGTTCAAAACACTTCACCACCCAAGGCCTCAGGTGGCAACTATGTAACGCTGAAGTTCCTCTCAGTTCTGAACTTCTATAATGGAAACCCCCTCCCTTTAACCCCTTTCTCAACACCTATACCAGAATCTATTCCAGGCTTCCCCGCTCAACTCCAAACCGCTTACACGTGTGTCTCTAATATGACTATCATTCTATCAAGCACATTACAGGTATTTTTTAAAAATTTTATTTATTTATTAAAAAAAGATTTTATTTATTTATTTGACACAGAGAGAGACAAGTAGGAAGAGAGGCAGGTAGGGGAGGGAGAGAAAGCAGGCTCCCTGATGAGCAGAGAGCAGATGCGGGGCCTGATCCCAGGACCTGAGACCATGACCTTAGCTGAAGGCAGAGGTTTAACCCTCTGAGCCACCCACGTGCCCACATGACAGGTATTTCTATCAGCTTTACAGTAATGTGGTAACAAGCATGTTAATAAGGAAAATACTGGAGGTAACTGAGACAACATGGAGTTGAAAACACTTTGCATTTCTTAAACTTGCTTCTGCTTTTCTCTTCTTACTAATGATATTCCTAAAACTTCATATTTATTCACCTCCTGCCCTTCTAATGTATAGTGAACACTGTTGCAAAATAGTATTTTACAGCATTTTTTTAAAAAGTGGGCTCCAAGCCTAGTGTGGAGCTAGGCATGGAGCCCAATACTGGGCTTGAACTCATGACCCTGAGATCGAGAACTGAGATGGAGTCAACATCTAACTGACTGAGCCATCCAGCCGCCCCTACAGCGTTTTCTTTGAATCATTCTCTCGATTAAGGACTCAATGGGTCTCCACTGTTTAATGACCAACTTCAAATTCTTTTTTTTTTTTTAAGATTTTATTTATTTATTTGACAGGCAGAGATCACAAGTAGGCAGAGAGGCAGGCAGAGATAGAGAGGAGAAAGCAGGCTCCCTGCTGAGCAGAGAGCCAGATGTGGGGCTCGATCCCAGGACCCCGGGATCATGACCTGAGCTGAAGACAGAGGCTTTAACCCACTGAGCCACCCAGGCGCCCCGACCAACTTCAAATTCTTGCCTGATATTCACAATTATCTTACATATATCCATTTTGTTTCCCCGATAACATGAGCTTCAGGAAGCATGGACTGTCCTTCTTTTATATACCCCCCATTCAGAATAGTTTGTGTGCAAAGTTAGTTTTATAATTTAACTTTTAAACTTGCAAGAGTTTTTTTTGCCAAAATTTATCACCAACTTACTATGTTTACAGAAGGAATGCTGACAACTCGAAAGACTGTCATCAAAAAGTATGCGAATTTTTGAGAAGGCAGGTTTTGTTTGGGGATAGTAAGTTTAAGCAAGCAGCTCTTAAAGCTAAAAAAATATCAAGGCCTGTGCTCTTTGGTGCAGGAATTCCATCTCGAGGAGTTTATCCTACAGACACATTTCCCCAAACTGTACAATGTATGTTCAAGTCATTCACTGCAGCATTCTTTTTATAATAAAGATTGAAAACAATCTAAACACCCACCAACAAAGAAGGCAACTTCTATGAACTAAATCATACAATGGTACACTATGCAGAGAAGTAAAAAAAGAAAAAAGAGCGAGAACCTAACATACGATACAGAGAAATATCTTAAATGCAGTACATGATACAACTAACAAGGTGCAGTCATTTAGTGGCACGCGTCGTGTGTGTGTAGCAGGGGAACGGGGAAGGACATATGTCTGTCTGTCTGCAGACACACAAGCCGCTGGAGCATACAAGGATGCCAAGAGCGGCTCCCTGTCTGCAGGAAGGTAACAGGACTGGGCAGTTGAGGAAAAGAGTGGAAGAAAGATGTCACAGAATAGCTTTTTACCTTTACTGAGTTTTGAACTACATGAATGAATATACTGTTTATTGAAAACATGAGTTTAAAATGAAAAAAAGTACAAACTCTCAACACAGGCACAGGATGTCACTCTATCCAGTGTAGTCTTAGCACATGACAAGCAAACTACCACGGTTGCCAAGGTAACAGTTGTAACATAACGTATTACTTATTAATCTTACACTTGTCTATTACTGTAAAACATCTAGAACAGAGACAAGTAGGAAAGGTGGGTGGTAGGTGCTCAGTCTGGCTCTAACTAGCAGAAGTGGGAAAGGGCACTGTCGTCAGTCATGGAACAGGGGAGCTACTTGCCTTCTACATTCTCACAGTTCAATAGATGAATGATACGTGCTTTTTTAAAAAAAGACAAAGGGCATTTGTTACTTACAAAAGTAACATAAATTACAAGTAACTCTAAGTAAGTAACTTTAATTGTATGATTACAAAAAAAAGCTGTCTGCTTTGGTGAGGCAGCCACAAGGAGCAGGAACATGAGGGTGTCCCGGAAACAAATGGGATCACAAAACTCTTAGAAATTTACTTTATTAAGGGGTGAGAAACAAAGCACAAGAACAATGGCTATAAAGAACAAATCAATAAAAGGTGACATGCATTTTTGGAAAACAAGTTTCTCCCCAGATTTTAAGTTTCTGGGCACACAGAGGGTACTTGCATGAGAGTTTAAATGTCCGAGGAAAATGGGGGATGGCTAAGAGTTTGCTGTGACTGATCTCATTTATTACATCCTGCTTCTTTCCCAAAGAGAATACAAAGACAGTGGGGAGGGAAAGGATAAGTAGTAAAGGAATTCGGTAAGCAAATGTGTGCCACCGAGTTTTCATTTGTTCCTTGAACGATGGAAGCTGGGAAGGCAAGGCCAACAGTGATGACAACTATAGTCACCCTTGAGGAGAAGACAAATAGTCAAGTGTAGACATTTTGATTAGCCACAGAAGAAGAGAAAGGGACACTAGGTCTTAGGGCAGGAGAGCTAAATGTCAATGATCTGAAGGGTAGTTGAGGAAGGAGGAGCTGGAAGGACAGAGACTGATTCTCCGAAGGAAAAGAGGGTGATTGACCTGCACACACCAAAGGGGGCCTTAGCGGAACTGCAGAGGACTGATCCTTAAACCAATGACGTCTTTGCCGATCTCTGTCACCTGTGGAAAAGGAAACAGAGGAAAAAAGTTAGAGATTTGTGAGGGTGAAAAGCCGAGAAAGCTTACTCCCTCCACTCTTCAGGGCATACAGCAGGATTCGTTGTTAACATCTGTTACTGATCAGTAAACAGCAGTGGAAGAAGCTCCAGCTTTCTTCAGTATCACTGCCGCAAGGAGCTACAGGCAAATACAAGAGGAAAAAAGGACCCACATGCTTCTTTCCCTTTCCTCTTCCCTCAAAATCCTGGATGCATTTCTAGAAGACAGTACTTACTGTAGTGACCTTGCAGATTTGACCCTTGAACTCCGGGGAATAGCAGGCCCCACTGAGCGGACACTTCTCCACTGGCTTTCCACGGTAGATGGGCCGATAGGATGCAGCACAGATGTCAAAAGGGTTGTGCATGTCGTAATTGAGCTGGTAGGCATCTGTGGGGTTCTTCTCACAGGCAGACAGAATTTTGCGGGTCTGAGGGAGGGAAGGAATATTTTATTTAAGAGGACTGAACCACAACTCAAATGATCTCAGCACCATGACTGAGGAGTTTCTTTGATTCAAGATGCAACCATCCTGAGTGAACACAGTGTGTCCTTCACACAGGACACGTGCGGAGGATCACAATCACCGCTCCTGCTCTGTCAGGACTTCCCCTTCTCAATACCAAAGTGGTTCCACGGACCGAGACCCATATTCCTCCACTAAGTCCGGGAATTATCAGGGTCAGGACTCAAGGGAGTAAGACTGGCTTCGACCGCCCGAGAGGAACGCTT